TCTACTCTGGTTTGTGAACCAGCCAGTAGCTCACTGTATAATCAGTTGGATGGTCAACAGGGTCTTTCTCCCTGGGGAGACACAGATATCTACCTCAGGGGACTGTTTCTGTAGAATGGGGTTCTTTAAAGGTGGTTGGCTTACTTATGACAATGTGACCCTTTTCCCCCTACCTATTTTTTTTATTTTTATTTTTTTGTGTATAAATATTTTGACTGCATGTGTATCTGTTTACCATGAATGTGCATGGTGCCTGTGGAGGTCAGATGAAAGCATCATACTCCCTGGAACTGGAGATACAGGTGGTTGTGAGCCACCATGTGGATGCTGAGAATGAACCATAGCTAGTACAGTTAAACACTGAGCCATCTCTCCAGCCCTACCCATTTATTCTTTGTAAGGTTAGGGGAAATTTACAATCCTTCTAAAATCTCATTTCCTCTTTTTGATTAGATTTCGTCTTGATTTTCCCATAATTAAATAGTTTTTATTAACAAAATATTAGCCAGTATACTAATTGGACAATTTTCATACATAATCTGTAATCTATACTACAACCTGACTAATTTTATAGATGTGGGGAGTGAAGCTCAGAGAGATCAGAAATTGGCTACCAAATTGCTACTGATTTTTTTTTCCTGGCATTACCACAGGAGGATGGGGGGGTTTCTTTCCATTGGAAAGGAAAAGGAAAATATTTTCATTTATCTTTTGCTTTTTAAACATTCAAAACAGGCTCTCAAAACCCTTTTTGAGACTGTAGGTGGGAAAGCCAAATACTTGAATTCTCACAAACCTAGGTTTTGAAAGGCAATGTGATGGCTAATCTTGGGTGTCAAGTTGACTACATCTGGAAGTAACTAAAAGCTAAGTAGCTGGACGTACCTGTGAGGGAATTTTCTTGGTTGAAATAAATCCCTTCCTGATATTTAGCTGTGTTAGTTTATTCTATCAGTTCTGTTTCTTCTAGAACATGGGCTTGTTTGTATGCTTGATGTATCAGAGAGCAGAGCCCTTTATGTGAAAAGGCTGACAGCTTATCCATCTGGAAAGGGGGATAAGAAAGGGTTTGTGTGCTGAGTGGTGGTGGCCCAGAACTTTTGGGAGGCAAAGGCAGGTGATCTCTGTGAGTTTGAGGTCAGCTTGGTGTACAGAGCTAGTTCTAGGACAGCCAAGGTCTCTCCCTCCCCCCCCCTCTCTCTCTCTCTCTCTCTCACACACACACACACACACACACACACACACACACACACACACACACCTGTCAAAACCAAAAGAAGTGTGAATACTGCCCAGGGAGGAACATCTTGAGGGAGTTATTAGGGGGAAGGTGGGATAGGCCACTGAGGACCTGATCATTGCTTGCACCAGGAGAATCATTTTATTTATTTGTTTGTTTCTTTAGAGATAGAGTCTCATGTAGCCCAGGCTGGCCTTAAACTTTTTATGTAGTAAATGGAAATCTTGAACCTTTGCCCTCTGGCTTTGACCTCTTGAGTGCTGGGACTACAGGCAAGCATCTCCATCCACAGTGATGAGTCTGGAACCCAGGACTTCATGCTGCATGCTAAGCAAACACTCTACTGAGCTACAGCCTCAGTCCATTTACCCTCAGGTATATGATTTAATGTAATTCTTTCATTTTGCCTTGTGTGGCTAGCCACACAAATTGGTGTGAAGTCCATGGCTTTTATTCCCTGACCCTGGGCTAGCCCTCAGCTGCTGGGTAACTGAAAAAGAGTATGAACAGTTAAGTAGTATTATCAAATGAGAACCCAGATGGGCTGATGTGCTGCTGGCACAAAGGTAGGCAAGGCCTCAGTGAGAGATGAGGATCTGGCTGTGGCAGTAGCTAAGGATGGGCAGGACAGATAGAAAAAGATGGAATCAATAGGACATGATTGATATGGGCTGACATCCAAATCCCTTCACCCAGGTACCGGCTCATGCTTAAGACTTGCCACTGCCCTTGCCAGGATCGGCCTTGGTTCTAGAATGTTCTTGTTTTGTCTAGGCTCTGTCCTGGACCCATGTTGTTGGTTGAAAGTATTATGCTGGCCTCTGCTTGGAAGAACATTTTTTTTACTCCAGTAATAGGCTTTCTTTGCTTCCTTGGTTTGAGAAGGAGCTACTTGAGGGAAGGCACTGGATCTCCTGAATTCCAGCACCCAGAATGGAACCTGGTGCTTTGCATGTATTCACTGAGCCAAGCAAGCAAGCAATTAAAAAAAGATGGGTGCAAGGGAAAGAGATGAAGAGAGAAAGAATGGGGATGGTGGTCCTCAAGTCAGACCTTACTATAGTCTCTCCTCTCTCAAATGTTACAAGAAAATCCTCATTGCAGTGCAGCTATAGGCTGATCAGAGCAGCAACTGCCTCTGTCTGCAGCAGGAACCGAAGCAAACAGGACCTAGAATATTCTAAGATTCGCACTTGGCATTGCCAATAGGCCTGTCATGTTACTAGAGGCAGTGAGTGGGGTGTAGGGTGGGGCTCCTACTGGAGAGACAGGAAAGGACGTAGTGCTTAGTCTAGGATGACCTATCCTGGGTCCTGTGCTCGGGCCTGCTTGTGAGCTGTGCCTTCCCACCTACTCCTGCTGATTTACATTCTAAATTCTCTTTATCTTGGCTTTGACCTTTTCTGTTCTTTCTTTGTTGTTTCCATTTCCTTATCCACCAGGTCCTCAGGAGAGCAAAACAGGAGCCCAGGCAGAAGCTTGGGTTTGCATTCATAGGAGTGCCTTTGTGGATTTTCAGTAAGAGAAAATCTTGCACTGTGCTTCCTTTTGTCTTGAGTTGTATTTTTAGTTCCCTGTCCTCACCCTCTCCAGTTTTAGAAATTTTGATTTTTAAAGAAATGAATTGTTTTCCACAATGTCCAAATATCTGTTGTCAAGACTGGAAGAGTTAGAGCAGAAGTCTGGGGGGGGGGGTCGGGCAAATTTTATGATGTGTGTCATGACCTTGGGCAAAGTCCTTTTTAGACTCCCTCTCTGGCCCAGTGAGAACTACAAACTGGGAGTCCCACTTCTCTGCAGTTAGCCTGCTACATCTGCTGGGGGGGGGGGGAAGAAACTTCTTATAGTACACACGCCTTGTTGAGGACAGCTCTTATTGTTGAGGACAGCTCTTATAACTAAGGTGCATCGAACCCATTTTATAGGTGGGGCAGCAAGTGAGCCTGTCTGCTTCAGCCTGCCAGTCACTGGGGTATAGGATGGCAGCCACCTCCTCCCTCTGCAGTAAATCACTTGAGTAACCTTTTTTGAGTCTTTGTTTTGGTGGTGATCTGGAACCACTAACTGGTGCTCGCCTTCCCACAATCTACTTTGTATTTCTCCTTTGGAGAGAGGGCTGAGCCAGGAAGCTGGGCATGGGGGCTACATCTGATGCACAGGAAGCTCTCTTTCTATCTTAAAGGAGAGGAGAAAACTGTGGTACAGGCAAGGAAGACATGGGCTCATTTGCTCTGGGCGGGTGTGAGCAACACAGCTGGTTAGGTCAGCTATCTCATGCTGATCACAAGCTCCGATGGGCAATTATAAATGTCTTTGATTAATAAAAAATGGGGTGATGAATAAATAGTTAATCAATTCAGTCTGGCAGGAAGCCTCTCTCAGAACCTGGACGGTGGCAAGGTGGGGGTGGGGCGTTCAGCAGGGGTTGGGGGAGCAAGGAAAAGGGTCCTTGGGAGTAAAAGGCAAGGCCACTATCAATGATGGTTTCTGATAAGCACTTCTGTCCTGATCCCCCAGCTCCCTGATTTTACAGTGAGGTTTACCTGAAAGCTCTGGGTGTGTGTGTGGGGGGAATAGCTTGGCGTGGGTAGTGAGCTGATGAGCAAGTGGGAAGCAGTGTGTTCTGTGCCCACCCACGTGGTCAAGTTAAAGAGCTGGAAACACGATGTGAGTGCATCCAAGTGTACCCCTTGATCTCTATGGCTGAACCAGTGCCTGGAAATGTGTTAGCTCTTTCGGAGCGGCAGAGGTAGGGTCACCTAAAGGCTTAAAACCAGGCAAAAGAGAGCAAGAGACCCTGCCCGAATCCTAGACAGCAGTTGAGGTAGGAAAAAAAGAAGCGGTTAAAAAAAAAAAAAAAATGAAGTGGTGGAGACAGGGGGCGGGTCCCAAGCCTTTCCGGGGGTGGGGGTGGGGGTGGGGGGAGGCGAGCAGAGAACTGGGAAGGGCGACAGGAGCAGGGAAATCCAGCCAAGCCAAGGCTCGCGTGCGAGAACTGTCCGATTAGCTGGCTGTACGAACGCGAGTAGGACCGGGTGAGAGAGAGGGTCAGGCTAGGCTGGGCTGCCCTGGGCTGGATCCGTCCGTCCGGGCAGAGACGGGTAGGGAGGTGGTCTGGTGGCAGGGGGTCTTCTGGGACAGCGATTTGGGAGAGAGCGGCTTAGGATGGGGCTCGACCTCTGGGCAGCTGTAGATGGGGATTGTGATCTTAGATAAGGGTCTGGTTGGGATATTTTTGCATAGTGACCAATTAGCTGAGCGACCTTGAGGCTAGTTTGTAAATCTTCAGAAGTTTTTATTTCACTATGATGCATTGAAAAGCTCCAGCTGCTAGAAGGAGCATTTGCATTACCAATGGGGACTGCTCTTGTAGTGGACTATGTTCAGACTTTCAAGTTAGGAGTTCCTAACTTGTGATGTTCCCGCTCCGCCATACTTTGGGCAGGATAGACTTTTCCCCTATGGTATGCTTTGCATTGGAACCCGCCTTATCTTCTTACTCATGGGTGGCTCACAGATGCCATGAATGAGAGGAGATGTGAACAGCATTGTTTTTTGTTGGTGTTTTGTTTTTGTTTTCCCATGTTTGGGAATGAACTCCAGATAAAATTCTGTGGCTAAGCCACATTCCCTTGTCCTGTCTGGAAGTTTTCACTTCCCAAAGCATCAAGCCCTTCTCCTGAGGACCCCTTTCCCATTGCTGCTTTTCCACAAGCTTCCTGTACCAGGCTGTTTCTGTCTTATTTTTCAGGATCCAGACAAACCAATTCCATGGTAGTCCTCGACCAGCCCAGAAACAGCTGGAGCAAGAGGGCTCTTTGAAGTCCAGGGCTTGCCAAAGGAATTTTCCACACGTCTCGTTACCAGTGGTCCCTCTCAGAGGGTTAGGGTAGGATTTGTGGATCCACTTCATCTCAGACCATGGCAAGCCGGGGCCTGCCCCTTTACTTGGCCACCCTCTTGACTGGGCTGCTGGAATGCATTGGTTTTGCTGGTGTCCTCTTTGGCTGGACTTCACTGTTGTTTGTGTTCAAAAAAGAAGGCTACTTTGCAGAGCCCTGTGAGGAGGACTGCCAGCTCAACAGCAATGCAACAGGGCCCCCTGGTAAGGACAAAGAGGGGTTGTTAAAGGAAGCTGGGCATGGTTTCTGGGAGATGGAAGAGAGCACGGAGGACTCCATTCCTTACTCATCTTGCCAGCCTTTCTATGAGGAGTGGTGTGTGTGTGTGTGTATGTGTGTGTGTGTGTGTGTGTGTGTGTGTGTGTGTGTGTGTGTGAATCCTCTGTGTAGAGGGGGTCAGGGAAGGAAGCATCAGATTTTAAAGCACCCCTAGGGACCTCTACATTTTAATGCAACCTGACTAGCTTTCTGGTCAGCAAAGTTGTTCAAGATAGAGGGTAGCCTCATCTGAGAACTAAGCTGGTGGGAAGGTTGGGTGATTCCAATGTAACCTGGGTTCCTGAGAGTTTTTCTTTCCCAGGCTCAGAAGCTCAGGATGAGAAGTTCTCACTCATCTTCACCCTGGCATCCTTCATGAACAACTTCATGACCTTCCCTACCGGCTATGTCTTTGACCGCTTCAAGACTACTGTGGCCCGCCTTATAGCCATGTAAGTCTAAAGCTCCAGCCTGGGCAGAGGTGAGGGAGGAGAGCCATCCTTTTCCTATACCCTTGGTTCCCTTTTCTTTGCTCCTTCCCCTGTAGGCAGTAATGCATTATCCTGTTATGTGCTCAACTTCCTGAAAGGTCAGGGTTACAAAATTAGCAAAATGTTCAGTGATGGTATCTGCTTTCCTTGTCCATGGAATCCTCAGTCTCATTTCCAGCAGGGCCTCACATCGAGGTAGCTCAGGCTGTGTCTTCATTCTCCACTGCTAGTCATTTTCTGGGTAACCCCAATGGTGGAATTTTGGGTTTCCTCTGATTGAGATGGCTCTTGCAATGGGGGTTTCCCTTGCAGATGAGCCAGAGACCTCATGTGGCTTTTCAGAGTTCTTTCTGCTCTAATGCTCACGGCCAAGATCACTGATAAGCTGGTTCTGCCGATCCCTGATATAACCTAGAGCAGGAACATGTATGTGAAGCTGTCAGGAGGATGGGAAAGCAGAGAGCAAAGCAAGTTCCTTACACTTTAAGCTTTTGGGAGAACAGTATGTGTAAGTCAGACATAAACTTGATTTTTCAGTTCCCTTTTGTCTCTTGCCCACCGTGTGTCCTTTGGACTTTTTCTTTATGGTATGGCATTTGTTATCTACCTTTACAAAGTCCTCCACCACTAAGGGGGCCCCAGAAGCTTAGGATTTATCCTGGAATCACTTGAACTGAACTTTTTTTGTTTTTGCTGCTGGAAATGGAATCCAGGGCTTCATGTAAGCCGGGCAAGTATTGGCTACTTTTCTATTGCCGTGATAAACAGACAAACAAAACCAAACAGCAACAACAAAGAAAAAAAGAAAGAAAGAAAGAAAGAAAAAACCTGACTAAGGCAACTTATAAAAGATTCCAGAATCCATGATGGTGGAGGAAGGCATGGCCTTAGGCACTTGAAACAACAGATAGGAGCTCATATCTGGATCCACAAGCACTGGGGGTTGTTTCAGGCTTTGGAAGTATCAAAGCCAGCCACCAGTGACACATCTCTTCCAACAAGACCATGCCTTCTAGTCCTATCTACCAACTGGGAACATAAATGTATGAACCAATGGGGGGCATTTTCATTCAAGCCACCACAACTTCTAAGCCACAACCCTAGCTGTGAACTCGGTGACTTTGAGTTTGGAATCTAGATCAGTCTGACCCAGGCACGTCCAACCCGTCTGACATTGCAATACCAAGTTGTCACTTGAACTCTCAACAACCATGAAGTCCAGTTACACACACAAGCACAAGATCTTGATAACATTTTTTGCTAAGTCTATGATTCTGTTAATTCAAATTCACAGCTATTCTTGATTGCATGTGGTAACTAACCCTTTCCTTTTTTCAGAAAAGCCCAGTGAGGCCCAGAGAAAGGCAGCACTGTGTCAAGTCTTATCTGGAGGAGGAATTAGAATTCAAGGTTTTGATTTGCAAGTGAGGCATCAGGCCTCCTTCCTAAGGGCTTGGCCTCAGGGCAAGAGGGCCTGTGCTCTGCCCACTGTGCTCCTGAGTCTTTCACACATCTTCTTGTCAGTTGAGCTTATTACTCAAGTCTTCTCAGTTTAGCCTTAGACCCTGGGAGGAGCAAAATGCATGTCTTAATTACTTTCCTTTACTAGGATAAAATACCCGATAAAAGCAACAGTTCCAGGTTACAGTCCATCACAGTGGGGAAGCCACGGTGGCAGGAGTTCAAGGGAATTGTTTATCAGCATCTGTAGTCAAATAGAGGCTGAATGCTGGGGCTGAGCTCACCTTCCTTGTTCTCTGTAGCCCAGGCTCCCCTACCATGGGAATAGTCCACCCAAGTCAGGATGGGTCTTCCGTTATCAACTAGTGGAATCACTCCATTGCCAGGTGATTCTAGGTTCTCATCAAGTTTACAACTGATACTTAATATCAGACTATCCATGGAGTCAGTCTGTCTCTGGCGCTCAGCCTCTTAGAAGTGTGTGCGCCTCTGGAGTTCCTTGGCTGAGAATACTGTCAAGTCCTATCTAGTCTTAGGTGTTGAGCAGACTCCTGTCTGGTCTTCATGTTTCTTCTTTTAATTGGATGCTTCTGTATTTCAGATTTTTCTACACTTGTGCCACACTCATCATTGCCTTCACCTCTGCAGGTGGGTGCTGGCAGGTGGATGGGAGAGCCGAGCTCGGGGAGTGGGTGGATGGCATAGGTGCAGAAGGCAAATTGCCTCCTGGTGTTTTCAGAGATCCACAATTTGAAAGAATCCCTAAGAGTTGCTGAGTTGTTGCTTGTCTGTGAAAAATTGACCCTACTGGGGAAAGATTTATATCTACACAGTATTAAAATGCCTTCTTTTTTTGTAACATGCAAAATAATTTTTGAAAACATCTTCATTTAGCAAAATCAAAATTGTCAACCCTATCTCTTGCAAAAAATTGTTTCTGATGATTACTATAAAATAAGTCTGGGAGCTGGGAGGTGGTGGCCTCTGCCTTTAATGCCAGCACTTGGGAAGCAGATGAAGGCAGATCTCAGTGATTTTGAGGCCAGCCTGGTCTACAAAGCGAGTTCCAGGACAGCTAGGGCTACACAGAGAAATCCTGTCTCAAAAAACAAAACAAAACAAAACAACAAAATCAAAAATAAAAAGCAGGGAATTCCAGTCTTGTTTATTTTCCTTTCTTTTTTATGTGGAATAGAAAACAGAGGAAGCCAGGCAGCAGAGGCACACACCTTTAGTCCCAGCACTATGGAGGCAGAGACAGGTGGATTTTATGAGTTCAAGGCCAGCCTGGGCTAGAGAGTGAGTGCCAGGATAGGCTCCAAAGCTACACAGAGAAACCCTGTCTCAAGAAGAAGAAAACTGAGGAGATATGAGAGAGAAAGAGAGAGAGAGAGAGAGAGAGAGAGAGAGAGAGAGAGAGAGAGAATGCAAGCCAAGTTTGAGGACTTGCTTGAGGTCACAGATAAACATGTGGGAAGTGGGCCTGGAAGTGAGTGGTTAGGCTGTAAATACATTGCATAACAGCTGTGCTGGATCCAGATGATATCAAGGGAGGCTCCTTTTGTGTTTGGCAAGCCCAGGGCCTGAGTATTTTGATCTAAACAAATCTCATAGGAGTCACATTTAAAAGTTTTGAGAAAATTCCCCTATTTTTATTTTTATTATTATTTATTTGTGTATGTGTGTGAATGTAGAGTGTGTGTACATGTAAGTAGAAGCCAGTAGTCTACCCCTCAGAAACCTTGCGTTTTTGAGGTAGCGTCTCTCATTTTGCCTAGAGCTTGATTATCAGGCCACAGTTACTCATGCTTGCACGGCATCTCCACAGCTGTCTTAGTCTGTGTTCTATGGCTGTGAAGAGACACCACGACCGCAGCAACTCATAAAAGAAAGCATTAATTGGGACTGGCTTACAGTTCAGAGATTCAGTTCATTATCAGCATGGCGGGCAGCATGCAGGCAAACACGGTGCTGGAGAGGAAACTGAGAGTTCTACATCTAGATCTGCAGGCAGCAAGACACTGGGCCTGGCTTAAGCTTCTGAAACACCAAAGCCCACCTCCCCAGTGACACACTTCCTTCAACTCCTAGTCCATACCAAGTAGCTCCACTCCCTAATGACCAAACATTCAAATATATGAGCCTATGGGGGCCAACTTTATTCAAACTGACACCATTTTGCCTCGACAGTGATGGTACATATCTTTAACCACAGCATTGGGGAGGCAGAGGCAGGTGGATCTTTTAGTTTGAGGCCAGCCTGATCTACAAAAAGAGTTCAGCCCAGCGAAAGTTTCTCACCCTTCATTAATCAAGACTTTTATTTTGGGAAAAGTATTGAGGCTAGGATGATTTTATTATGAAACCGATCTCCAGTCTTTAGCTCATTAGGAGAGACGTACATTTGTTAACGACAGAAAGTGAATGGCAAATAGTATGACTCATCTCTAAAATCATCTCTTCTCAGAACTTCTCTAGGCATATAGAACCATAGTTACTGAGGAGGATGTTGTCTTAGTGGATAAAGGTGCTTGCTACTAAGTCTGATGATCTGAGTTTGATTCCTAGGACCCACATGGTAGAAGAAGAGAACTAACTCCCACAAGTTGTCCTCTGGCCTTTACACATATGCCAGTGTGTGTGCACATGACACACACACACACACACACACACACACACACAGACAGACACACACAGATGACACACACACACACACACACACAAAAAAAAAAAAAAAAAAAAAAACCCCTAGGATGCTAGTACAAACCTAATACACCAAAAAGCTTTGTTAGCTTTGGATTACATGGTACAAAAATCACCCCCCACACCAAAACAGGGTTTCTCTGTGTAGCCTTGGCTGACCTGGAACTCTTTTTGTAGATCAGGCTGGCCTCAAACTAAAAGATCCACCTGCCTCTGCCTCCCCAATGCTGTGGTTAAAGATATGTACCATCACTGTCGAGGCAAAATGGTTCCTTTTAAAAAGTCACTTTTTCAGTGATTTTTGAATTATTTAAGAGACTATCCAATACTTGGAAGCCTTTGCTTATGTGCCAGTTTTGCTTGCTTGTTTGTTTTTGCTGTTATTTTTTAAGAACCAGGAGTGGGCTTTACTCATTTAGTGTTTCTAATGCCAATCTCATCACAACGGGAGCATTCAAATTTTCACAAACAAAGGAGGGAGTCACAGGTATTTCTCTCTCAGCTTTCACAGTGCTTTCACTCTCTCAGCTTTCACAGCAAGGCAGGGCAGAGCCTGTTGTTTCTGTATAGCAGGAGAGGAGAGAGACAGATTCAGAAGGTAGCTCAAGGTCATGGCTGTGCAATGATTTTGAGGCTGGACTTGGGGACTAACTACAGAGTCCTCCTCTGCCACAGGGATGGAGCAGGCATTCATGGTCTCCCAGAGACCCAGGACCATATTTAGTGAGAAGAGGGTCTCAAGACACCTGAGCAGGCACTACTGGGTAGTCTATTGACCATTTCCTAAAGCCCTCAAACGACACCAGCAGGTTGGTGAAACTAGCTCCAAGTGCTCTGTTTTGTTGGAGCCTGAAGCTGGTGGGAGCTGGAGCATCCTGGAGGAGAGGGGGAGGATGTACAACTATGGGACTTTGGGCTACAAGGAAATCATCACTCCTGTGGCTTTTATGGTTCCAGACTCTGCCCTGCTGCTCTTCCTGGCCATGCCCATGCTCGCTGTTGGAGGAATCCTGTTTCTCATCACCAACTTACAGGTGTGAGCCTGCATCCCTCTTTTTTGTCCCAGGAACCTGGGGGAGATGGGGATATAATTTGATTCTGGGGGGTTGACCCAAACTAGGGTGGGAGGAAGTGGGATGAAAAGGGCTTGGGATATTAATCATGTCTGGCTGGAGATGGATGCTAAGGAGGGAAAAATAACTGTTTCGTGAATAAGTAAGTCAGCTAGACTTGTCTTCTCCAGATTGGGAATCTCTTTGGCAAACACCGCTCCACCATCATCACCCTCTACAATGGAGCATTTGACTCCTCCTCAGTAGTCTTCCTCATCATTAAGGTAAAAGTAGCAGTAGCTGAGCTGAGGGGATAGCCCAGTGATGAAAGTGCCTGCCGTGTGAGCACAAGTACCCAAGTTAATTTCCCAGAACCCATGTAGAAGAGAAGAATGTTCTGGTGTGTGCTTTGTAATCTTGGTGTGGGGTGTGGGAAGCGGGTAAATTACTGTGGCTAGCTTCTTTTACTTGTCAAATCACAAGGCCAGTGAGAGATCCTGTCACCTGAGGAACGATACCTAAGGCTGTCCTCTGGCTTCGGTACACTGTCACACACATATTCACACATGCAATACCATTACTCAACATTTATTGAGCCCTTGAACCCTTATTTATTCTAGATACTTGTCATGATTTCTGCCAGCCTTCGAGGTAGACACTATTTAAATTCCAGCCTCAGGGAGATCATGATGCTTGCAAAGTTCAGAGCAGGTAACTATGGTGTCTGAGCTTACACTTAGATCCATCTGTTTCTAGAGTTGAGCTTGTGACTACTAAGTTTCCTCTTTAGATTAAGACTATGCTCTTTGCTTGGTTAGGAAGGAAAATGTGGTCATGATATCCTTGAGGATATCTTCCAGGAGGCTCCAGTTCTAGGACTGGACAGAAGCTGGCAAATCTATAGAAGGGGGCATTTCCTATTGTGAGCTTCAGCTTTGGAAAACAGAGTAGGAAGGGCTAGTAGGGGCATTAGAGACCACACAGGGGCCTCTGCCTCTCCCAAGGACCAGCCATGAGTGTCAGGAGAACAAACTGTTGGCAAGGATGTTAGTAGCCCCATTAACAACCATTCTTCTAATGGTTTTGTTTTCATTAAATTAAATAAATTAATTGTTATTATTTAAGACAAGGCCTTTTAAGCTGGCCCAAGACTCACTCTGTAGTCATTTTCTCTCAAATTCATGATCATTCCTTCTCAGCTTTCCAATTGCTAGGATTACAGACATGTGTCATGACACCTAGTTTCATGTTTGAGATAGTATCTGACTGTGTAGGGCAGGCTAGACTGAATTTTGTAGCCCGGGCTAGCCTCAAACTCTCTGTCATTCTGCCTTAGGCTCTCTGGTGCTGAGGTTACAGGCTGGAATCACCGTGCCTGGCTTTACTAATGATTTTTGTGTTTAAGTCCTTGCAAACAGTTTTATCTGGCTAGTGCTTTATCTGATGCATGGGATAAATTCTGATTGGTCTAAGGTAACCATGGCAAACTCTGTCTCTACTACCAGTGACAGGTAGAGCTGGACATGTCATAAAGCCCTTGCAAATGAGATAAAGCAGGTGCATAGTGTCTAAATTCAGTGGATGTTTCCTCCTTAAAGGAGGGTGAAAGCAGAGCCGGAAAAAAAACCTTGAAGCTGGGAGTAGCTCAGTTGTTAAAATGCCCCCCTCACATGCATAAAGCCCAGAGTTCAAACCCCAGCTCTGCACAATCAGGCTTTGTAGCATGCCTGTAATCCTAGCACAAGGGAGATGAAGGCAGGAGGATCTGAGAAGTTCAAGGTCATTTTATACAGTGAACTTGGAGCCTGCCTAGCCTACTCAAGCAAGACCTTGTCATAACAACAAAAAGCCTTCTTCCTGAAAGAAGACGATCTCTCTGTTCTTCCTCTTTGAAGGCTGCAGTGGGATGTGCAGTGGGACAGAAGATGTAGTAGGTGGCACTGTAGTAACCACACTTTAGTTATGAGGCAACAAGCTGGGACACAGTGACTGAGCAACATGAGTGAAAATGGTGGATCTGAAACTGTTCAACCTGGGACTCTCTCTGGGTTCTTATTAGACTACCCATGGGCTCATGAACCTCACTTAGTCCCATGGGAACCTTGGGTAGAGTCTGAGTTTCCCCAGGGCTTGCTGGATCCTCTGCTGCTGGTACAAGAGCCACTCTCCAGGAGATCTTCAGAGGTGGAAGAGAAGGGCTGGGCAGGAGTGGGATGCTTAGTTTAATATGACTCAGCTGCTTCCTCTATGGAAGCAGACCTCAGTGTCACCCTCTGTACAAGGAAGAGGCTTGTCTCAACCTGGAAGTTGAGGAATTTAGAAGTTCCCTTTGTTATGTGAGCCACTCAAGAGCTTCCCACAAATGGGTTTTATAATCTTAACTCTTGTGTGAAGAGTTGACCAGAAGGACTTCTTGCTGTTAGAGAGGAATAGCATTAGGCTAAAAGACCTTGGAGAGTCATGTGAGGAGGTTCCACAAGACTGGAGAGCCAGGTGACAAGATGGCCCCCTGTTACTTACTGGATCCTGGGTGAAAGACCGTGAGGGTCAGAAGTCCTTGGCAGCCCCAGGAGGACCAGCAGGAGGCTATGCTGAAGTTTTTGGAAATGTGGCTTCCAGCTTCTGCCTCCTACACTTTTCACTTGTGATAAATACATATAGCATAAATTTTGCTATCAGAATTTAAAAAATATATATTGATGGAGTGTGTGTGTGTGTGTGTGTGTGTGTGTGTGTGTGTGTGTGTGGATGGGTGGGCACAGCATGTCTGTGGAGGTCAGAAGGACACCTTGAGAGAGTTCCTCCATCATGTGGGTTGTGGGTGTTGAACTCAGATGATCAAGCCTGACAGCAAGCCCCTTTGACCACTGCATAGTCCTGTTGAGCCTAAGCATTTTTTAAGTGTACAGATTAATAGTTTTAAGGACATTTATGCTGCTGGGCAACCAACACCATCATTCATCTCCAGGAATTTTCACAATATGAAACTGAAACGCTGAACCTCTTAACACAAGTCCCTCATTACTTCCACCCCAGTGCCAGCCTCTAATGATTGCCATTCTACTGTCTATGCTTTGGACCCTCCCAGGAATCTCTTGCAGGTAGAATGACACAGAATTTGTCTTTATGTGACTGGCTATCTTCACTTGATGTCCCGTTCCCAAGGGTCATCTGTATTGTGGTGTGTGCCACGATAGTCTTCCTTTTTAAAGGCTCAATAAGACTCCATCAAGTGGCTATACCACATTTTGTTCATTCATTCGCTTACCCACAGACACGCTTTCTCTCCACTTTTGACTGTGGTCTACAGTGCTCTTGTGAGCACTGGCGTTATTCTGCCATGTTGCCCCTTTCTCCGCAGCTCCTTCATGAACGGGACATCAGCCTCAGAGCCTCCTTCCTCTTCCTGTCTGCCTGCAGTGTGTGGCATGTTGGGCGCACTTTTTTCCTGATGCCTCGGGGACATATCCCCTACCCACTCCCTCCCAACTACAGTTATGGGTAAGATGACTGGCCAGTGCCCCACCTGATCTGAGTCAGGAAAAAAATGTTTAAGCCTGTTGTAAGAGAAGAGTGTATTAGTTAGCTACTCCTGCATGACAAGGATACCGAGCTTTTCTTTACTTTCTTTCTTCCTTCCTTCCTTCCTTTTTTTTTTTTTAAGATTTACTCATTTTTGTTTCATGTGTAGGAGTGTTTGCCTGTGTAAGTGAATGCATACCAAGTGTGTGCTTGGTGCCCCTGGAGGTCAGAAGAAGGTGTCAGATCACCTAGAACTAAAGTTACAGATGGGTGTGAGGTGCCACATGGGTGCTGGGAACCAAGCCTGAATCCTCTGAAAGAGCAGAAAGTCCTCTTACTGCCTGAGCCTTCTCTCCAGCTACTAAGATTTTACGTTTTACATCAGAGCCAGACTTGGATGCCTGGCTTATGCCTTTGATCATCTGATGTGTTAGCGGGGAGTTGGCTGGTCTGCCATGCCTGAGCTTACATTGGGTTTGGATGACAGGCATGTTGGTGTCACAGGCTAATGCTCCAGCAGGCTTGCTTGGATCTGTGCACATAGTGGTTCCAGGGCTCAGAGAGGGGGCAGAGATGCTCACAGTTCTTGGAAGTTTCCACTTGGAATTGATGTGTCACTTGTATGCTACATTGATGCATTACTTGTATGCTACATTGTCTTGGCTGAAGCAGTTCACATACCTAGCCTTGGTGATGAGGAGAAATGGGCACAGTCTGTTGCTGAGGATGGAGACAGAGGAGGTGGATGCCACAGTCAGGTTGGCTGTCAGTTCCAGGGGGCTGAGGGGGTGTCTTTATTTGCTGCTCACTTGCTACTTGCTGTGCCCCATGTGCTCTTTGCTTTCCATTCTCTTGGTCACCTTTCCCACTGGCAGCTCTGCCTTTGTTTTTCAACTGAGAACATGAAGCTTTGAGGGGTAAGAGTGGAGGCTTATCAAAGCTGAGATGTGTAACAAGATCCCCCCTTCTTACATACTTCCAGAGTAGCCCAAGCTTGCCTGCCTATGAGGATCAATCAGATCATTACAATAAAAAATAAATGGAAAATGGAAACCTGGCCCTTAGCCAACAGGCATCCTGATTTAATTGGTCTGGGCTGCCCCTTGTCATTTGAGGTTGTTCAAAAGCAGTTCCATCTGCAGTAAGATAAGAATCCTCCATACTGCTTTCCCTGGTCGGGTTTTGGTCCAGCTCACAGTCCTTGTCCTGGCTGCCTGGGCTTCTGTTTCCACAGTTTGTGCTCCAGGTTTGGCATCAGAAAGGAAGAGAAGGAACCTGAGCATGAAACCAAGGAGCTGCAGTCAAAGGAATTTCTTTCACCAAAGGAAGGTGAGTACTGCTGGTTCACCCATGCCCTCTGCAGATACCTGCAGCCCTGTGCTGGACTGCCCTTACCAGGACATCTTCCCAGGGGCTCAGAATGAGGCCAGGCCAGGCAAAGAAGAACCCATAAGCATATTTTCAACCCCCTCACTTCAGAGAGGGTCCAGAGAGGGCAGGACATCTGTGTCTTTTCAGGGTTTCTTTCTTCCATTATCCACATACTTCAACTCTCCTCACACTGAAATCTACCTTCCTTTGCCCTGTCCCCACACCCTGGTCTTGCCCTCTCTTGGGATTCCAGGACATCAAGGCAGCCGTCAGTGTCTTCATTTTCTTTACATTTCTTGGATCTGGCCTCTTTCCATCTGTCCCATCTCCATCACTTTCTTCTTTCCCTCTTCTGTCTACTCTGGGTCTTTGGTTATGAATATTATAAACCATTTGTGGCTACAGTTGAAGTAAAAATAAGAGGAGAAGGAAGACAGGAATGGAGAGAGGCAGGTCATAGGGCAGAAGTAGCAGCTGGGCAGAGGGAAGCAGTTTCTAGAGCAGGGAAGTTAATAGAATTACATTGTATTTGATAATTTTTTTTTCTATATGAGCAGATTTTAGCTGTTCTTGGCACACAAAAAATGGGCAACAATATGAGATGATGGATATGCTAATTTTCTTTGCTATGGTAACCATTTTACTATCTATATGTACCCGATGACAGCATGTTGTATGCCTTAAATATACACAATGGAATTTATTTGTTAAAAAAAAAAAAAAAGAATAGGGGCCGGGGATGTAACTCAGTTAGTAGAGTCCTTGCCTAGCATGTGCCAAGGCTTGGGTTCAATCCCAGCACTTCATATATCTGGGCAGAGTGGAAAGGGGGAGTCAGAAGTTCACTGTCAACCTTAGCTATATAGTGAGTTCAGTGCCAGTCTTGGCTACATAAGACCTTGTCTCAAACAATAAAAAGAGTAAAAGGACTGCGGAAGGCTCATACGATCAAGAGGAAAGTGAATTGCCAGGCTACAGAGGTATGGAACCAGGCTGCCTCTGGGCATTCCTGTAGTCTTTAGCCAGCCTACCTGCTTAGGTCAACTGGGTGAGGAAAAGAACATTTAATTCACGGTCTCTACTGGACCAGGGATAATTGAGGGACTCTTGGACCAAAAGAAAGGCAGGGGACACAGAGCAGGCCAGAACAATAGCTGCCCATCACTTTGTCCCAATGTTGTCCTTGTCCTGGCTGAGAAAAATCAGGAAGGTACAGCAAGAAGTGCCACTGAGTAGGCTGTGAGGGACAGATCAGATTTCAGGACACAGAAGAGCAGGAGGAGAGCCATCTAAGGTGGAAGGACGAGGTGACAAAGCGGCAAGGGGAGTTCAGGTAGCTCATAGAAGACAAGAATGGAAGGCGAGCTTAGGCCTGAGACTCTCATTAAGGGTCACTCTGGCCCATCCAGCCTCTCTTCTTTCCCTGTCATTTATGCCAAGTTCCTTCCTTCTCCATCAGACAACTCCGGACCAGGGCAGCAGCAGGAGCAGCAGCAGCAGCAGCAGCAGCAGCAGCAGCAGCAGAGCTCATTTCGAAGCTGTGTGTTCTCTCGTCGATTCATCTTGCATGTGGTGTGGTTGTCTACCATCCAGTTATGGCATTACCTCTTCATTGGCACTCTCAACTCTCTATTAACCAGCTTGGCTGGTAGTGACAGTGTGCAAGGTATGTGGTGTGTTTTGAAGCAATCTTTTGGTAGATCTCAGGTGGGAACTCAGGAATTGGTGCTGTGCCGGCAAAGCTGTGTGCTCCAGGAGAGTTTCTCAGGGCCTGGGGAAGAGGGCTGGAGAAGAGAAAGGCAGGATTGCGGACTCAGAGTCTTCTCTTGTAAATCACCCTGGAAATGTCTTCTCGCCCAACCCCTCTCCACAGTCAGTGCCTTCACAAATGCCTTCGCCATCACCCAGTTTTTTGGGGTGCTGTGTGCCCCCTGGAATGGCTTGCTCATGGACCGCCTTAAACAGAAGTATCAGAAGGAAGCCAAAAAGACAGGTGAGACTGGGAGCCAGCCATCTTCACAGACTTCTGCAGTCATCTTAGCTTTGCTTTTAGCCTTTCTTCCTGCACTTGTTCGTCTGTCCATCCGACCGTCCATCCATCCATCCATCCATCCATCCATCCATCCAACCCTTGGTCATACATTTTGTGTTAGCCACAGTACCCATGAGGATTTAGCAGTGGATGAAATAGGTATATCTTTTCTTCCCAAGCTGTTCCTAATCCAGAGGGTAGAGAAAGTAATCGGGTAGTTACAATTCATGAGTTACAGATGGTCTCTAGCTGATGGAGTGCTGATTCTATGATGAGGCAAAGTCACAGCCATACAGCCATTCTGTATCTACTTTCATTGCCCACAGATTACAGGAGGTAGTCAGCACTTTACTGTATAGTAGGCTTTCTGTCAGATGTGAAATGTTCTGAGCATATTTGAGCTAGCATACACGGAGCCATGATACCCCATAGGCTAGGTATATTAAATGCATTTTCAACTTGATGGTAGTTTTGGTTTCTGATGCCTTTTTCTGGATATAGCCCCACTGTGATTCAGGGAGCCTCTGCTAACATGCAGCAGGCTCTGGACCCTGAGAAGGGTGTAACACCTGCTGTGGGTGAGGCAGGGTTGCTAGGGAAGGTGGAAGAAGCGATGCCTAAAGTAAGATGGAAAAGACGAAGAAAAAAGGAAAAGGAGAGGAGCCTGATGGTAGCTGAGGAATGCAGTGGCTGAGGGTGGTGAAAGAGAAGACATTCAGGAAATCTAGATACTTCTTGCAAGTGACTCAAGCTAACTAAAGTGCCGAGTGCATGAGCGTTGCAGGGAAGACCAGAAGGACTCAGGCTACTCCACCTTGCCTTAGACAGTTAGAACATGGTCCTTGGGTGTGACTGGCAGAACAGAAGAATGCTGGGATGTTTCCCAGCGGGTAAGGGATAAAGAGCATTGTTTACTGTGTGCACTGTCTGCTCCCTCCTCTCAGCTCTCTGCACCCTAACTCCGAGGCACTATTTTGAAATCAAGTTTAGACAGTATACCGCATTTACTAGCATATACTTCATAGGCTCTTATTAACAAACAGAGCCTCTCTTAAATAAATGTCACCATGAAAATCCCCAATGGTTTCCTGATATTTTCTAATATGCAACCACTTTTCAGATCTCCCTGACTGTCCTCTCCTCAGTACATTGTTTCATGACTAATTTGTTCAGTGCCTCCATACAAAGTCCAGACAAATTTGAAAGGAGGAAGTTCAGTTGATGTGTCTTTTGCATCTTTATTTTTTTTAACATTTATTTATTTAAGACAGGGTCTCATCTAGCCTAGGCTATCCTCCAAGTTACTATAATACCCAAGGCTGGCTTTGAACCCACTATACAGTTGAGGCCTTGAACTTCTGACGTCTTCTGCTGTCACTTCCCATGTGCTGGGATTACAGGCTGACCGCCATGCCGTTAACTGACTTTTTTTCCTCTCTTTTTCTGGTTCTGGGAATAGAACCCTGAGTCTCATGCATGCTAAGCCAATTCTTTACCACTGAGTTATAGCCCCAACCCCAATTCTCTTCTTTTACGATTTACATCAGTTATTTGTTGAGGAAAGTGGGATATTTTTCCTGTCATATTTCCCACATTTGGACTTGGCATTCTTTGTGTATTGCGTGAATGGGTTCTTTTCATTGGGCATTTCCTGTAAATAGGCAGATTCGAAACTTGGAGGAGACTCAATTTTTTTTTTTTCCTGGCAAGAATAAGTAGAATGGAGTTGTGGCCTCTCTCCGGTTCCTTCCTATCTACTGTCTTTGCTGTTATGACACTTGCACAGGTCAGTTGCTTCAGAATGTGACAGTCTGATCCACCCATTATAAAGCTTCCCATCAGCCTGAGCAGTTAATGATTTTGCCACCACTGTGGTCAATTTGAGACCAATGATTTGATTAGGGTGCTATTTCCATCTTCCTTTCAGCTTTTAGCAGCTGCAATTCCAACAGAAGACACGGTTTCTCGTGCTATTCTTTATGCTGAGTTGAACACTTGCCTTCCTCCCGTTTAACCAGTTTCAGGATGATGAGTTGCTGCCTTAGGGACGTCACACCCCACCAGAGACAAGTGGAATGGTTGTGCTTTGGAGTCTAGCTGGATACACACCTAAGCTCAATGGTCCCATTTTGTCTGAGTTTTTAAAACTCTTTTTATTTTTCTTTTAAAAACTTTATTTTGAGAATTTCTCATGTGTATACCATGAGATAGAATCAAACCTGACTTTGTTTTTCTTTTTTGAGAAAAGATGACTTTGTTTGAAAAAAATTTTTTAATCACAGTGTATCTAATATGTTCCCATTCTCCTCTGTCTTCTTTTCAGTGCTGGAGGCGGGGCTCAGGACTGCTCACATGTGCTCTGAACCACAATCCCATAGGCACTCACTATTCTCTTTTAGATCCCTTCCTCTCTCCTTCCCTCCTTCCCTCTCTTTCCCCTCCCTTCCTTCTTCCCTCGCTCCCCTTCCTTCCTTCCTTCCTTCCTTCCTTCCTTCCTTCCTTCCTTCCTTCCTTCCTTTCTTTCTTTCTTTCTTTCTTTCTTTCTTTCTTTCATAGACTCACTATGTAACCCTGGCTGGCCTGGACTTCATAAAGATCTACCTGCTTCTGCTTCCTGACTGCTGAGCTTGAAAGTGTGTGCTACCACTTATTCTGTTTATTTATTGTGTGTGTGTGTGGGGGGGGTACACGTGTGAAGTTCAGAGGATAACTTGTGGGGCTCAATTCTCTCATTCCACCAGCGATGGGATGAAGATTGCCAGGCTTGGTGACAGGCATGTTTACCTGCTAGCCATCTCACAGGCCATTCTTCTGCAAGCTCAGATTGATCACTTTGGCCACTAGAAACTTTACCAGTTTCACATGTGGGTCCCTCAGACATGACTTATTAATTTTAGACATGCCCTTGCCTTCTAGTGCAGTGAGAGTTTTGGGTCTGTTTCACTGGACATGTTCCTGCAGCAAACATGAAACTGGCCATTTGTCCACTTAGTCTTAGGTCTCTTGAAAACAGCATTTAGAGACCTCAGGTTGGGTACTCTCTCTCTCCTTGTATGCTCATTCTTTTTAAAATTCATTTTTAAAGTTAGTATGCAGTGTTGTAGGCTTCATTATGGCAGTTCATACATTTAGCATTCACTATTCTTATTCATCACCCATCCCTACTGCCCCCTACTGCCCCTTACTGCCTCCTACTGCCTCCTACTGCCCCCTACTGCCCCTTGCCTCCTTCCTGCTGGCCCCTTTCCTCCCTCCTCTAATTCCTCTAATAGTCTCTCTTTCTGCTTTTATGTCATTGTCTCTTGCAGGGGCTATGTTTGTACTTTCACAATCTCCTCCTGCCCCCCTTTTTAAACTTCAATGACCCCACACACATACTCATATAGGCATGTATGATCTGCTCTATCCTTCCCACCTGTATTAATATCCAGACATCTCCCCTTCCTCTTATACATTTACCTGGCCACTTCCCCTTTCCCCATCCCACTCCACAGTTTCTTCATAGCCAGCCCACTTCCCCTTTCCCCAAGCTCACTTTCGCCAGCATGAGGAAGGCAGCATTGTACATACACACACACACACACACACACACACACACACACACACACACACACGAGTCCAACTGGAAAAAGTTAGTTCATTGTTGTTGTTTTTGATATTTTGGCTTTGCTTTGCTTGCTTTCTTCCTGTTTGAATTTTATTGAAAACATTTCACAAGTTAAGCATTTACATTTCCTCAAAACTAAAACTAGGAAACATGAGTTTTAGTTCCTTCTCTGCTTCTTATTTTCCTTTATTTTCTCCTTTGGGTGAGTATTTTTGTTGTTTTTCTTTACAATACAATAAGTACCCACATACACATAGATTTATATATGCCTCCCTTCTTAGATAAAATGCAGAGTACTGTTCACATTGCAGTTGGGATAGTTCTGGTTTTTCTTGGCTTTCCCTTGGGCTCAACTCCAGATGCCCTCTCTTCCATTCTGAACCAGGTTCCCCCTCCTCGGCTGCAGCTCTCTGCTCCACAGTGCCTTCACTGGCCTTGACGTCCCTGCTGTGCCTGGGCTTTATCCTGTGTGCCTCCATTCCTGTCATCCAGCTACAGTATGCCACCTTCATCCTGCAAGTGATCAGCCGCTCCTTCCTCTATGGGTGCAATGCTGCTTTCCTCACGCTGGCGTAAGTGAGCTTGGGGAGAAGGGAAGTGGGTTGGCCCTGAAGAAGTTGTGGTATGTGATGGGCCTGGGGGTGGTCAGGTGAGGGCATATGTGGAAGGGCAATGGCTTGAGACTGATACCGGTGGGAAGGATGGAGCATTCACATGTCCCGGCCTTTGTGTCTAGTGACAGTCTCTGTCTACAAGGTGAGCTTTTATTCACCCTCCACTACAACTTCTGTTATAACTCTTCCACAAAAGAGTTCGAAATCTATTTTCCCTTCTTTGTGTCCTTGGCATTCTGCCTTGCTTCCTTCAGTAGCACCCCCATCTGTCTTTTCCTTAAGACCGACCCAGGACAGGCTGGGTCCGGGTCCCCTCTGTTTTCCCAGAGCCCACTACAGTGGCTGCATCTTATGGTTAGAAGGCCTGAGCAGAGTGGGAGAAGGAAGGGCTTGTGTGGGTGAGTGAAGGGCAGGCCTAGGATAGGGGAGCTGGCTGATAAATATTCTTAAATACCAGGCCCCTGCTTGGAGCCAGAGGGTTGTAAAACTCACTGAAACCTCTCTCTTTATTCCCCTAGTTTTCCTTCAGAGCATTTTGGAAAGCTATTTGGGCTGGTGATGGCTTTGTCAGCTATTGTGTCTTTGCTGCAGTTCCCCCTGTTCAAACTCTCCCCCCAGAACATCGCTGTTTATGTGAGTACCATAGAGGGACTTTTCCTGCTAGCACACAGGCATATGCACACACGTGTGTGTGCGTGTCCGTGTCCGTGTCCGTGTGTGTGTGTGTGTGTGTGTGTGTGTGTGTGTGTGTGTGTGTGTTGGGGCCCTTGACTAGAAAGGCTACCCAGCTGGATCTACTGCTTAGGGCCCCAGCAGGGGGCACCCTAAGCTGGCTCAAGAGGCCCTGATGTGTTGGAGGCTTGCATAGTGCAGAAACAGGAACATTCAGGGTTCAAACTAGGGTGACAGGCAGAAACCTGGCAAGCAGGGGTTTCCTAAGATCAAAGGATTAACATGGTACCACTTCCCAGAGAGCCTGTGCTTTTCATAGGTCTGGAGAAAAATAGTTGTTTGTGAGTGCGTACATAAATATATGTTGCTCTAGAATAAGATGCATAATCCTCTCAGAATTTCAAGTGAAAAGGTCTCCCACTTTCAGTCAGTGTAGGCCAACTTTGGCTTCTCTATGGAGTCCATAGCATAGACTACATTTGTCTGAGGGCAGGAGCTTCACATTTTAATCCCTGGGCTCTATACCCCAGGGCATGCTAATGGCCCAGCCCTAGGAGTTAGTCCTGGCTCTCCAGCTTTGGGGAAAACTGGGGATCAAAGAGATTAAATGGCTTACAAACTAAGATGCTCAAGAGTCACACACAGCTCAGATGTAGAAGTTTCTGCACTTGGGAGTCAGAGTTCTGGCCACTTATGACCCTGCTTGCCTCATTGAAAACAGATCATGAGGGTAGGAAAGATGGCTCACTGAGTAACAGTACTTGCTGCCAAGTTTGACAACTTCAGTTCGATCCCTAGAACCCATGGTGGAAGGAGAGACCCAACTGCTACAAGTTGTCCTCTGACCCCTGAATGTGTGCCATGACACTTGGACTCATACCCTCCACCCCTCCCACAAACACACACACACACACACACACACACACACACACACACACACACACTATTTTTTTTTTTAGATCAAAATGTAACACAATTGTTTAAATCTGTCACTAGAAGTAACAAAGCTACACTTAAAAACTAAGGAAAACTTCCTCAATTGTAAAATCAGGACACCTAACTCAACATTTAGATATAGTCTAACAGATGCCTCCCCAGCTCCTCAATGACTTGGTGCAGGTTACTGAGTGCTCACTCAGTCACTGTTTCCTCACCCATGAAGTGGGCTTAATGGGGCTTGGCAAGTGGCTTATTGGTAGAGTGCTTCCTCAGCATGCACAAGGCCCTGAGTTCAGTCCTCAAGGCTGAATAAGTCATGTATGCTGGTACATGTCTATAATTCCAGCATCTGGGAGATGGGTTAGACTTTCAAGGTCAGCCGAGGCACAACAGATCTAGCTCAAGAAAGACAAGTTAAAAATAAACCACAAGTCCTTCAGGTCAGCTTGGCATCTGGGTAGGAAATATGGACCAAGTAGGACTTCTGTCCTTCTGTTGGTGATTGGTGCAGCTCAGAGTTACTGAACTGGCCCCTTCTTCCTGTCTCCCCAGGTGTCAATGGGGCTTGCCATTCTCCTCACCTTGGCTCATCCCTTCCTGATGTACCGAGAGTGCCAAGCTGAGAAAAGAAAACCATCCGTGACTCCCTAGCCCAGAAGCTGTCATGATCTAGCCTTGATGGTGCTTTTCCCAATCCTTCTTCACCTTTGAAGATCCAGTGTCCACAAAGACTCTGTCTATCCCTGAGAAATGTATTAAGCAGCCATAGGTTTTTTCTGCGGGTTTTGTTGTTGTTGTTGGTTTTTTTTTTTTTTTTTTTTTTTTTTTTTTTTTGGTTTTTCGAGACAGGGTTTCTCTGTGTAACAATCCTGGTTGTTCTGGAACTCACTTTCTTGACCAGGCTGGCCTCGAACTCCAAACTCACTGAGATCCACCTGCCTCTTCCTCCCTAGTGCTGGGATTAAAGCCTTGCACCACCAATGCCAGCATTTTTTTTTTTTTTTAACAGACAAACCAGGCATTTAAGTGCCATTCAGGACTTCTGATCACCAAGAAGAGAATTTCAGGGGCCAAAAGGCTTGCCTTCACACCATCCTAAAACAAAGCCTCATGTAAATTCTCCTTGGTTTGGGAGCAGGAAGTTACTCCTTGCCCAGGGCCTCAGCAATGGAGGGGGAGATTTGTTACTGAAGCCCATACATGCAGAATGTCTGCTACCAGCTGGATTTCCAGGATAAATGTGAGGCCATTATGGCCTCAGTTGTTCTGCCTGACATTTATATGCAACACAGAGAGCAACTCTGGCTCTCTCAGACACACACTTTTGTTAGAGAATACTCCATGAGCTTTTGGGGAAAGAAGATCATGCAGAGGTCGCTGGGCCCAAATCCCCCATGTCCTTCTGCTGATGGATGACCTTGGGCTGACCCCTCTAGGTCAGAGCATCTCTTGTTTTCCCATGTGTAAATGTTAGAGCTTGAAGTCAAAGATTGTTTTTGGAACTGATATCCTGGAAGGTTTTAAAAACAGTGACAGGGAGTCATATTACCCCTAAGGATTTGCGAACCAGCTGGCTGGCTAGCCAAAAAAATTTTGACTATCCCCTGAGTGTGTGTGTTTGAGCAATTTCTCCTCTTCAGGAAGAGGGATGTTTATTGACATAAGGCATCATTCATATATATATATAATTATCTTGGGGCTGGAGAGATGGCTGCTTTTCCAGAGGAGCTGGGTTTGCTTTCTAGAACTCTTGATGGCTCACAAACTGTAATTCCAGTCCTTCCATGGGCATTGCATGTTTGTGCACAGACGTATATTTACAAAACACCCATACACATTAAATAAATAAGTTTTCTAGAGGACAGTTTTATACAACAATAAAGGCTTTATTTAAGGAAACTATTGCCTTCACCTCTTTAGATTTGTGTGGCATGTGTGTGTGCTTGTGGGGAGGTGTCATCAGGGCAGAGGTGGAGGGATCTTGATGCATGCTGTAGGATGATATCTTGACACAGAATTAGGACACAGGGTTGGGGTAAGCTCTAGGTTCTGGAATATGAACTCTCAGAGTCCCTCCCATTCCTTTCCATATCCTTCAACCTCAGTCAATACCCTATGTGCCCAACTCATAGCATTAGTTGTGTCAGATGATCTAAGGATAATCTCAGTTCTGTCACCAGCACCCGGGAAAGCCCTACAAGCACCGAGTCACAGTTCTCTCCCATACAAGGGGTAGTCAATCATTCCTGTCCTGGAGAGTGATGGTGAGAAGAAAGGGGGAAGCAAATGAGTACCACTTCTTTAGTTACTCCAGACCAGATGAGAGAAGGGCAAGTAGAGATATGGAGGTGGGCAAGATTGGAGCATCTAGAACATTCCAGCTGTTTTTATTCTATCTGGCAAAGAAGGAAGCTGGAAAAGTGTAGTGAGATAGTCCTTCTGTGGCACTGACCACGCCCATCGGGGGGTGGAGCCATGGGCGGAAGTGACCTGTGGAAGGAGGTCGGAGGGGGCCAGGAAAGGCTCTCTCTTTCTGGCGTGACTCGGACAGGAGAGGATTGGGTTGAATTTCCTGGTGTTCATCTGTCTAGGTTGTAAGTTATTTCTCCCTGAATAAACATCTATTCGGCCTATTTGTTTATCCTGATCCTTATTTACCGCAATAGAAAAGGATAACAGAAAGAGAGTCAGCTGACAGTCATCCAGTCTTCCTTCCTCCCTCCCTTCCTCCTCCCTCCCTCCCTCCTTCTTTTCTTCCTTCCATCCATGAAGTCATTCAAGAGGTGTTTACTGTTATCTTTACAATGCACCAAATACTGTCTTAAGTGTTAGGGATATAGGGATTCTCAAGAACACAGCTCTTTTGCCTAATGTTGGGATACTAAAATAATTGTTCCCAGGGGTCTAGGAATCTGGTTCTGAATATGGATAACAGAGTTCTATGGTATTTTAGCCTTGTTACTCAGCTTAGAAGCATCTAGATCAGTGGTTCTCAACTTTCTTAATATTGTGACCCTTTAATACAGTCCCTTATGTTGTGGTGGCCCCCCAACCACAAAATTATTTCATTACTACTTCATAACTGCAATTTTGCTACTGTTATGAATCATAATGTAAGTATCTGGTATGTAGGATGCCTGATATGTGGCCCCCAAAAGGGTCACAACTCACAGGTTGAGAACCACTGATCTAAAGGCCCAGAAGACAATTTTAGACTCCAGCCTGGCATTCAAGGTTTCCTGCAGTATGATCCCTCAACCTTCCCTCCTCTCTTTCCACCTCCAGGGGAGCACAGTCCATTCTGTGGATCAAAGCCCCTGGTCTCTGTGTCTATGTACACTGGTTCCTCTGTGTAGGCTGTCAGTTTTCTCTGCTGGGGAAACCTATCATGTTCAAATCTCTAGAAACCCTCCCTTGGGCTTTCTAGCAGCGGGGAGTCTCCATCATATAGTCACATCCTTCTTGGTGACCAACATCAGACTGCTTGCCTGAGGTAGCCAAACTTTGGGAGGCAGTGTCCGGTTGTACCTAATGGAATACCTCCTCCCGCTCCCCCACCTCCACCCCACCATCCACTCCTCAGAGAGGGTGAGGCCTCCCATGGGGAATCAACAAAGTCTGTTGCATCACTTGAGGCAGGACCAAGCAAGGCTCTCCTTCCTGTATCTAGGCTCAGCAAGGCATCCCTCCATAGGGAATGTCACCCTGCTTTCTTATAGAGCCTAGGACCACCAGCCCAGAGATGTCACCACCCACAATGGGCTGGGCCATCTTCCACCAATCCCTAGTTAAGAAAATGCCCTAAAGCTTGATCTTATGGAGGCATTTGAGGTTCCCTCCTTTCAGTTGACTAGTCTGTGTCAAGTTGATGTAAAACTAGCCAGCGCATGGAGTAAATGGTCATTGGATGAATACATTTTCCCTTGTTCCAGCCTCATTGCTAATTGGATGGAAGCAAGAGCACCAGGCAGGAAGGAGTAAGTGAAGTGGGGTGCACTGGGAATCCTAGTGATGGGAGATGTCATTCTGTAAATATGTTTCTCTTATTGGTTAATGAATAAAGCACTGTTGGCAAATAGAAAGGGAAGATAGGTGGGACTAGGAGACAAGGAGGATTCTGGGAGAGGTAGTAAAGAGGAGTCAAGATGTAGTCCGTGAGAGAAATAAGTGGTCCTGACTGTCTGTCTCTCCCTGGTAATACCACATAAAAATACTTTGATAGAAATGAATTAATAGCTAAGACAGAGCTAGCCAATAAGAAGCTCTAGCCATTGGCTAACAGCTCTATAACTAATAGCGTCTCTGTGTTATTTTGGGACTGAAGCAGCTCTGGGACCAGGCTTGTCGGAAAGTACTCATAACATCTTAGCTCTGCCACTTATTAGTATGACCTTAGATGGCTACTTAACCTCCACATCTCATCATTATTATGGGAAAAAGAGACTTGTCTCTCTGGCTTGTAGCTAGGGATAGGAATTAGGTCAAATGCATGGCTCATGGAAACAACTATGACAAACACAGTTAACATTACAGACAATACATTAAAACTCCAAAGACATCTAAGGTTTATCAATGGGGAAATGAACAAATAAAACATACTCATAAGGGCTGGAGAGATGGCTCAGCAGTTAAGAACAGTGGCTGCTCTTCCAGAGGTCCCGAGTTCAATTCCAAGCAACCACGTGTCAGCTCAACCATTTAATATGGGATCTGATACTCTCTTCTGGCATGCAAGTATACACGCAGATAAAGCACTCATACATAAAACATAAAAGTAAATAAAATTAAAAAAACATCCTCATAAAATGGAATGTTGTTTGGTAATAAAAACTATTGATGTACTGACACACGATGTAATGTGGAGGAACTTGAGTATATTATGCTAAGTGAGAAAACCAGTCACAAGAAACTATGAGTAGTATAATTGATCCCTATTTACATATTAATGTCCTGAATATGCAAATACACAGAGGCAGAAAGCTTATCAGGTTGTCTATGCCTGTTGGCAGGGCATGTTTAGTGAGTAGGGATAGCTTGTAAAAATTGTTAGAGCAGGCATGGTGATGCACACCTTCAGTCCTAGCACTGTGAGTTTGAGGACAGCTTGGTCTATCTACATAGTTCCAGGACAGCTAGGACTACAAAGAGAGACTTTGTCTCAAAAGCAAGACAACACAACAAAAATAGTACATAAATAGTAGAAAACTGATGGAGCTGATGGCTGCAATATACTTTAAAACTACTGAGTTTTGTACTTCAAATGGATGTTCTGTGGGATATGAATTATACTCAATAGAGCTTTCATTTAAGAAAAGATGCTTGGAACTGGGCAGTAGTGGTGCATGCCTTTAATCCCAGCACTTGGTAGGCAGAGGCAGGTAGATCTCTGTGAAGTTGAGGCCAGTCTTATCTACAGAGCAAGTTCTAGGACAGAACCCTGTTCTCAAAAAACCAAAACCAAACCAAAACAAAATTGATAAAATAAATAAATGAAATACTTGGATTTCCTAAGAAATGCAGAGACCACTAATTTCTTGGGAGTTAGAGGCAATTTCTGGGAAGCTAATCAAGAAAGAAGTGACAGCTCACTTCTTCCCCTGGGACTAGGTAGAGAGTCTCCCTCCCTCTTCAGCCTCTTCCTGGAAGAGACCATCTGCAGTTTCACAGGCCAGGTGGAAGCCAGCCACACAGGGTTCACAAGGCTTGAGTTGACCAATTGTACTTCCTGTGTAATCCTGGATTCCAGCCACCAATCTCAAGGAGGGCCAAAGACAACTGTCTTCACTCTGCCCCAGTGCTGGCACAGTATCATT